TTGGATTTTGACATTTTTTTTCGATTTGTATAGTTGGATAATTGCAGATTTATGGTTGTATATAAATGAATAAATAGCCACTAGAAATATGTAGACATGTAACAATGTGGTATGAGAGCGAGTATTCAGGAATGCCTCAAAATTACTTAAAAACTTCTTCATTATATTATCATTTATGGACTGTTGATTTTTTGTAAAATACAAATGTGTTTTTTCTAATTTAGTTAACTTCCCCTTTTTGTCGCTAAAATAAATTAAAATACGGGAAGCTGTTGAAGTGTACTTTTAAGTGATATTTTGGTAGTATTTCTGATTGCAGATTATGCTGTTAGAGTCTTGCTGAATAAATTCGTTACACTATAAAGTTAACTGAATCGAAAACACTTTAAAAATATATTTCGCCATTACTCTCGCCAATTTTTCGCTATTCCCTCAGCACCTGCCAAAAAATGTTGATATTTTGTTGGGGGGCGATTTCTTCTCAAACGAACAGATAAGGGCACAAGATGTTTGCAGCGTCACAACAAAGCCAAAGCAATTTTAAAGTGTCCCTGAATGCTCTGCTGTGCTAATCGCATACCATTTGATACCCTGATTACTGCAGAAGTGGTACGGGAAAGGTCAATAAACCAAACTTGAATTTTAAGTTTTAACAAAGCGTGATTCACATTGAATATAATTATTATAACTTCACGTAATGTGCAAATTAAGTTAAATAATAAAGGCAGTGATATTTAGTTTCGAATGTATAAAACAAGGTAACCTTGGATATGCCGGGATCATCATATAATAATATATGATCAGGGCGATTTATATAAGGGCCAGCCCATTTATGAAATGTAATGACTTATAAATGTGTATCGATATACCAATCAAATAAAAAATATCAAAACCTGTATTTTTTCTTCTTTAGAATAAAACTGATTTCCTTGCATTTAGGTTCCCTGCATTTAGGCTATTCAATAAAGAAATGTGCATCCTATTTATGTTATAAACGTTTATAATTGCACGTAAAAATCGCGAAAAGAATTAGAACTAGTGGTTCAAGTAAAATACAGATATGTATCAAATTATAATTTTTGTTAGCCAAAATTTATTAAATGAAACTTGCTCCATAGGTCGCGAAATTCAAGATTGTTGTGATTGTGAGGCAACTACAAGGCATTTGTGCAGTTCTCAGGTTTTATTTTAATTGCCAAGTTCAAAACGTGACTGCACCAAAAGTAATTATGTATTCCAAAACCTAAAACGATAGTTACCTCCGGCAAAATGTTAAATAGTGGCAATTAAGTATTTTGCTATATCTTTAACATGTGCCAATATTATTTATCAATTATTTGTATCTAAATCCTAAAAAGTGTATGTGCATTTAAAAGCTACATCTAATGATCTCTCATGCAGAACAAAATTGGATTTGAGCAATCGCTGGGAAAATAAACCCATCCTATTCCTGATTATATAGATATTAAAATCATAGATGTAAAAAAAATTGTAAATTCATTTGATCAAACAGCGTATACAGGGTGTTTTATCCAACAGTATTCAGACCCTAATCAAACTTTCATTATACTATGCTTCAGTTCGTATAGAAACATGTGTCACGATTGACTTCAATTGCCATAGCAGTGGTGGCCGGTTTTTTTGCTAGGTTTCCCTTAATAAAAAATAATATTTTATGACCATCTTTCCAAAGTGTGGTAAATATATGCTTCATACCATAATTGGCAAGAGAGCAAGTCAAACTTCATCAATGAGAAAAAACTGTAAGTCGCAAACACCAATTTGGCACTATCGATGTGGATTTAGAGAGAATTGCTCAACGGTAGAGCAAATATTCCCGGTCAGGCAGCTAATGGGGAAATGCTGGGAATTTAACAAAACAATACATCACGTCTTATATAGCTTATGACAAGCTCAGGCAAGCTTATGTCAGCATTCTCAGCGACGAGCAATGGACGCAATGGCAGAACTTGGCCTCTCCAAAAAAATTACAATATTAACTAAAGAGGGGTTTTTGTAGAGGGGTAAATAAGTGCAGTGAGAATCGGATAACAAACTTCCTACTGTAGTAGGAAATACAACTGTCAGTGCGAAAGACGCATTTTTTTAATTTGAAACGTGCTGCCAATCACGCTAGTCTCAAAATTAATGAAGCAAATGCAAATTTGCGAATTTTGTAAAATGTTCAATAAACGATTATAATTTTAAAGATATTATGAAATGGTTGGGGGCCACAATAACCTCAAATAAATAATAACATGACACAGTAATTATACAATAGAATCTAATGTGCCCATCGCTGCTATTGTGCCCCACAAAGTGAATCAAAATTCAAAACCCGCACGCTCCCGATGCACGAAGATTAATATCTACACAACAATTGTAAGACCCATTATGACGTACGTCTGTGAGAAAGGAACACTAACAAAACCTAAATAAAACTGGATTAAAATTCCAGAAAGAAAAATACTTAAGTGAATATATGGACGAACAAAAGACCATACCACTCAAGAGAACAGCATAAGAACAAACAGAGAGCTGAAACAGTTGTCTAACCAACCTGAGGTGGTTAAGGCGGGCTGAGGCGGGCGGGTTATGTTAAAAGACGGAAGATTAAACTGGTGTGCGCAAAGAATCCAAACGGAGAAAGACCACTCGGAAGACCAAAAATGCACTGGAGAGATAATATTACATCAGATTTAAGAACCCTAAATAGTCCTGATGTAGAAGAAATTTGTTAGAGCCTTTCAACATTTTAAAAAATGTCTTAATATTTTTCGCTGCATAACGACGCATCAAGTTTCAAAGAAATCCATTCATTAGAGAAGCGATTTTTTGCGCCAATCGAGAAGCCATTATCAGAAGAACAATAAGAGTTCGTAATTTTATTTTTTTCCAATAAAAGATAATTACAGCCTGTTGCTTCAACTTAGAAATGAATACCACCTAAAACGTATTAGCAGAGAGTGGGTTGAAATATCGACCGACGCCCTTACGAATACTAAATAATAATCCGTACGTAAATAGAAACGCATTTTAGAAACCGACTTTCTCTTCAATTTTATCTGGAAGAAAATCGTGCTCCTGTTCGTCAAAAAATAACCATAATACAATAACAAACACAACATAGCATTATCAAGTAAATGACAAAGTAAAATTAAATTAGACATATATGTGCATGCCCGTTAAAATGTAGAGCATTGTGCCAGAGCAAAGGACAGATTTGTAAGAAAAAAATACGAAAAACTTCTTTTAATTTGAAAATAATTATATAATAACGAAATAATTATATAAGAAAATTACACACTTCAATACAAAAAGACCGATTCTTTGATAATATAATGGCAAATTACAGAGTGGTTCTCACACCAGTGTTCCAAGTATATAAATATCAAACGAACTGGTACATCCAGTATTTTGTACATCGAAATACATTCGGAACATTTATAAGCTTTCCCAATTGCTTTACGACAATTTGGGACCTTACCATCAGCTAATTTTAATTTTCAAGTAGTAACTGAAAAATTACTGTGATGCTATAACCATAAGAGTTTTCAAATTCACCATGGAATATTAGACTCCGAATATAGAAAACCTCGATATTTTGTAAATATTTGTTTATTTTAGCACATAAGGACAACTATCTAATTTCTGGTATTGACATGTTTTAGGATTTTCGCAATTTTTTTTGGATGTGGAGGTAACTGAGAAATCAAAAGTGCAAATTTTCCTATTAAACCAACTTCTTATTAATTTTTCTTTCGAATATTATAAACACATTTTTAGCAGGCTTTGATGACCTAAATCGTTAAACAAGTAACCCTTAGATGAAAACCGGAGTCAATTAAGATAAATTTCAACAAATATAAGCGAATTATTTATTTCGTAGATCAAATTAGTTATGAGAGTGAGTGCTTGTTTAACAGCGTAAAAAACAACAACCAAAACTGTAGTTACAGTTTTTTCGGTCATATTGGAAAATGGAAAAAATCTAATTTTCAAATTTATAAACAAATTTTGAAAACCAAAATTTGAGATAAAGGAGCATAATTATTAACATAAACAACACAAGGCAAATTCTGATTGACAAGCCTCTTAGGCTTATCTGTCTGCCAGTCTTCGTTACCAAATAGGCATATCATCGGTTTGATCGGCATTTGATTAGAATTAGAAGCAGTGATGGCTTCTAGCTATAATTTAAAAATGTACTAGAACGGAAGTTAATATGATTTCAAAGTTTTATTAATTTAAAACTACTTGACGAATTCGCCAATTTTAAGATTGTAGAAACACCCATATAATGTCCTATAATAAAATCTTATATGCTCTGTGAACAAAGAAAGTTTTGACAGGAATAGAATAAACAAACAATGGTTTTGCGGTAATTGACTCATTTCACTTCTAGACGTTTTGCTTATTTAATTTTTAATAACAGTTTTACATGCAAGAAAAAAAGTTCTTGTGGTGGGGTTGTATTCAACCAGAACGGTAGGAACCAATAAAACAATAATTCATCGAACAACATAAATACTTAGAAAAATGCACGAATAATGATCATTTAATAGTTGAACTGATGCATATTTCAGTCGAGCATTTCAATGCGAAATCTTTGCTGAACAAAGTTGTTGCTCCATCTTGAATACGTCCCCTTTGACGTCTTGTATGCAGAAATGTGAAAAAATCCACACTTAGATTTCTATGTGTACTGAATGAGAGTATAAAATAATATGAAACTAAGAAAACGAAGGGAGTAAGTAATTCGTTAAATCAACAAAATTGTTAGCAACTGTGCCCATGATTAACAACAATTGCATCAATAAGAAAAGAACATAGTAACAAATATAAATGCAATTATAGTGTCATGCATGCAGTTTCATTGACCGGATTCAATTTTATCAGTAGGTAATCTGGTTTCCAAAATCGATTGCCGACCTTATCATACGGGTCCGGTTCTTTCAGAATTCGGACTTGCACTGCAAGAATGAAGGATAATGAAGTGGACGACAAGTTGTATAAAAGGCGATTCGTATTCGTAATTGTTACACTTTTAATTTGGTGATTCGAGTCTACGTACATTTTGTATAGTCAGCAATGGTTTGCAAGGTATGTAACCAGACATCAATAATTTGGCTTTCATTTATAGTCCAGTAAAAGAAACTTAATTTTAGTTGCAAAGGTAACGGTTAGAAAAACCTAATATTTACTCAAACTAGTTATGTAAAAATATTGTTCGAAGTATTATTTAGTATTCCGACGGGTAATTAATAGCAGATTAATGCCTTATATGGAAACTAACATTTTGAACTATAAACATTTAAATTGCCAGTCTTTTTATGTTATTAAATTTTCCTTTTTAAACTTGTTTGCTTGTTATTCTGTAGGCCGTTTCTCGGTTTTCTCGTTAGCAGTCCCCAATGGTCAAATATGTATTTATTTATAGTCTTCATACTCAAAAGCAGTTAAACGTATCCTGGTTCTTTGATATATTTTGCAAACATTCAATTCAAAGCAATCTGTTATGCGGTGTTCACGTCAAGCATCACGTTTCTTCATTCGCTGTGTCTCGAGCTATTTACTTTGTCATTATTTACAAGTTTCTATTCACGTAGACATATCTTTAACAAAAAAATATATTGTTACGTTTTTTTCCGTCTCCTGATTGGGCATTAAAGGGATTGCTGTATGTTTCTTTAGCAAATTTGAGCTAAGACGCCTACATAACAAACGTGATATTTGTCTTCAGTTAAGGTGTCTTTATATCATGTGCATGTTGAAATTTAACTTTAAAAACGAACTTGATATTGTCTACCCACATCTTGTTAAAATTTTTATGAACATAGCAAATTTTATTCTTCATTATATGATATATTTTATAGATAGAAGATGAAACTTAAAACTTTACTCGAACTTCAGCCGTTTCAGTAAATTTAAAGTATCAAGTATGTAATTTTATGTACCTTTGTATTATGGTAAAAGACAAAGAAGATGATTCGACCACATATAGTATTTATTTAAGATACTAGCTGTCAGGCAAAATGTAAAAAAATGAGGTCCTTTTGAAATATAAATATTAAATGCATTAGTTTGTTATTTTGTCATATCACGGCATTTTCGGTGACTATTGTAAAAACTGCGGCAAAAATCTAAAGTTTTCACATTTTAAGTTCTTCGCAACTGGTAGTTGAGCTGAATAAATAAATTCAATAATTAGTTTCAAAACGCCGAACTAAGCTTTAAGTACTTCAAACTGTGAAAAAATGTATTATATTTGAATTTCAAACCCCATTTATACAAAATCATCAAATTTTAAAAACAAAGCGAACCATCTTTCCTCAAAAGTCTAAAAGTTTGATACAACCAGTTATTTAGATTAGCATAAGTAGACGCCGTCGCGTTCAAATCAAATTCCCATTTGTTTTAGATTAGCTTGATGAATACTTGAATTGTCAATAAAGGGAATTTCAGTTTTGGTTTGAAAATTCGATCTAAAATTTTTTGAAACTGCATCACATAATTTTTGAAAGCAAAACAAATTGAGACGTTCCGAATTCCCAAAACTTGTACCTGATTATTCAAATGTTGTCGAATCATATGCAAAATATTCAAAATTGCTGAAAACGGCAAGAATTCTAGATGCACTTCATTGCAGTATGCAGAGTCTCTATAAAAAGTTGTTATGATGTATAAAAACTCTGGTGTGTGTTCTCAATTTTAACCGTCACTTCAGATCTTCCTCATCGCCGCGTTAGCAGCCACAGTTAGAGCAGGCTCACTCCTTCCGGCACCTGTAGCGATCGCTCCTGCTCCTTTGGCATACCAAGCCGCGATTCCTCGCCTCGCCGCTCCATTGGCTTACGCTCCACGAGTTGTAGCTGCTCCCGTAGCTAAAGCTGTAGTAGCTGCCCCAGTCGCTGCAGAATACGATCCTAATCCACAATATTCGTTCGGATACGACGTTCAAGATGCATTGACTGGAGACTCCAAAAGCCAGGTATCTTCAATATGTTCATGAACTTTCCACTTCAGGCTTTAGTGCTCTTTTTCCTGGACTCTTGTTGAATTTGGTGCTTCTATAGGTTGAGAGCAGAAACGGAGACCTCGTCCAAGGATCCTACTCTTTGGTAGATCCTGATGGTACCAGAAGAACTGTTGACTACACCGCAGACGCACTTAATGGATTCAATGCGGTAGTACGAAGAGAACCTTTAGTAGCTGCACCGGCTGTAGCTAAAATAGCTGCACCAGTAGCGGTCGCCTCCGCTCCAGTTGCTCGAGTTGCTGCTGCATTACCTGCAGCCGCTCCCATCGCTAGAGTAGCAGCTCCGATTGCATACTCAGCTCCTATTGTAAAAGCGACAGCTCCACTGACTTATGCCGCACCCATCACCAACATCGGTTATTCTACATCTGTTTTGCATTAAATTGTGATCATTGTGATCATGGCTAATGGGCTAGTTTATATGAATGTACATTATGTAATGAGGACTTGTTAAATAAAATAACTTTAACTTGGAAATATGTTTTTCTTAAAATACCTAACTGTTTTGGGGGATAGTACTTTCGTGAATATTTAGTTTAAACGAAAATTTCGCTGAATATTAGATTAATTTGACTGGCAATCGAAACTTTGGTATTAGGATGAGTTATGGTAGATTCTCGCTTTCTAAAACGAACAACGTAATTTTATAAGTTCATAAATCGTTCAGCAAATAACGTTCCAAACCTGGGAGGAATGAATTTGAATTGTTAAGCTTTTGATTTTTATTGAAATTGATGTATTTACTTATGTTCATAGTAAATTTCGTTCTAATGTTTTGAAAACTGAGAGAAATAGTAAATTTAACGGTTTCAGATTTTTCTGTCTATTTATATATTATATTAATCTACTCAACCTGGAACATTTTTTACGTGCCCCTTTTGGCAAGTTTTAACATCTATTTTTTATTCATCATTTAGTCGCTAGAATCTATTGTCCTAAATTTCTCTTAAAGCAACTATTTTCAAAAATCATAAGTGTCAAGAAAGAATAAATAAATCTAGCAATTTGAATGTTTTTGTATGCTTCGAACTCAATCGCGACAACTTCTACAATTCTTTATTTAACGGATAGGTTGTGTGATCAGATAAAAATCAAAGTAGAAATCAAAATAAAGCACGATTTTGGCAGAACCGAGCAATCAAATGCTGAAAATGACAAAGCATCCATTGTTCATGCCAAATGTAACATCCGCCACATTTTGTGGAATTGTGTCTGAATATGAATAGAACGCAACACTCAACAGTCATTCCCTTGATACAGATACTTGATGTGTTGTCTGTCTTGTCCTTAAAAATCCCATGTCGAAAAGATGTTATTAGACTGAAGGATGCTCCCGTAGGTAATCGAAATGCGAATATACTTAAAAAATACAATTTTTCGCAATTGTTGAAAAAAGGAAAGGTCTCCAGCGAATTGCTGAATAAAATTTAAAAGCTGGTCTGAGGAAATGTGATACATCAATTTTCAGGGAGGACATTACTTTGAGAACTTAACAGTTATAGATTAAAATTGTTCACAACGCACGGCCGTTGAATCGTGTTAAGGTAAAAAATAATTTTATGTAACTACACCACCACCTAAACCTATTTTAGATGCAAATTATATAACTTTCCAAATCAGTTATGGAATCGTATAATTAGCTAAGAAATACAATGTTCAAAGTTTTTAAAAGCAGCGGAGTTTCAACGCGACCAATTTGTGCCCCGAATGCCCCCGGTTCCTCCGGTTGTTTATTAACAAATTTTACCTTAGATTTGCTTATCTTATTCCTACACGTAAATAATTTTCAATAACTACATTTTTAATTTCACTCGTTGTTCTGCACACCTTTGTGCTTTAGTGCGCTGAGGATTACTGCTTGCCTTTTTATTTCGTTTTTTATAGATTATTGATTGGATGATTGCTGATTTATTAATTTTTTATTATTCATTATTACTAGATTGACAACTTCACTTCTTTGTCATTGTTACACACCAAAACAACCAGAACAAAAATAAATGACAGGACGCCGAACTGGCGCGTTCAGAAATGTTCTATCCGCGCCAACACTCGTTATTATTTTTGGTGCTCATCTGAGAGTCTACGTTACATCACTACCCATATAATTATTTATGTTTCCTATTTGCTAGCCTAAAATGACTTGCGGCACTATTAGACTCTTATGATTGCATTTAACATGTCGGCACGCATTTGACCATTTGAATTTAGCTCTATAAACAAAAGCCCAATAATTGAATTGCTATTATGCCGGGACAAACAATAGATTTTCGATGGGGTGAATTATGCTTTGTCGCATGAGAATTCACTTTATTGTCAATATTACATAATGTCACTTCGATCGATGGACTTAATGGCTGACAAAGTATTTCATCAACTGTGGATTAGCAAAATATTTTCTCGATCGGTTGCACACTGATTTTTCAAATGCTGCCTAGGTATCGCATTTACGATATTCTTATCTCACTTATACTGTAAAATATCTACAAAATTTTGGGTAAAAAGCAGCATTCTCATACTCCTTTTCAGTTGCAAGTTATTCAAATTCAAAACTTATTAAACGTAAAAAAATCCATGGCGAATTATACAATGCGTATAAAAATATTAAAATACAATAAAAATTCACATAACAATAACAGATAAATAATCAATAAATAAATTACATGGGTACCCTCAGCTTTAGTTCGGACTTAAATGCTCCCAAAGAAATATAAAAAATGGCAAATCTAAATTGTTAGCAGTTCTGCATACTCTGTCGATAATTATAAAGTTACTGTAATTGGTATTATGAGCTGCTAAGTAAAATATAGATTGACTTCTGACATGGAAATTAAATTCACTGAGCAAATAAGGGCAATTTATATGGTAGTTAATTAATTTAAAGAAAAATATCATTTCACTTTCCAATCTTCCATGTTCAAGCGTTTGAATTTCTAATTGATGTCGTAATTGTAGCTAAACCAAATTATCTAAAGGTATGGATGCCTTGTAGGCGCAGTATCTTAGAAATTTATTTAGAATGTTTTCTATGTTATTTATATGTACATAACGATGTCCCGTCTTATCCCGTCCTTATTATGTCGATAACTAGGCGACCATATAATATTTGCGTATGTTTATTACATATAATATTACGTTATACGTAATTATAGATAGCGGATTTGAACAGCCGCTTTAAATTTGTTAAACTTTAATTAACTAAAATCTGTTTTATATTTTACACATTTTTTACCGCTTTGTACTTTGTACATTTTGCATACACCTTGACGTACTAAAATTTAGATACTTTTATGGCGAAACACAAAATTACAAATAAAATGACCATCTAATGACTTATGTGGAATTAAAAATGATAGCAAATGTATGAAATGCCTGGTTTTTCTGGACCTTTGGGCATGTACTAAATATGACTGAAACCATACAAAAGCTAAGGCAGTGACAAATCCAGTACCAACAGGAAATATATGCATAGAGGGAGCGCAAGAAGAACATTCCTATAAGCCTAAAAAGGAAGACATTTATCACGTGTCTCCTACCAGTTCTCACATATGGGGCAGAAACCCTAACGCTCACTAGGACTTCAGCAAGGACATTGAGTGTCACACAAAGAAAGATGGAAAGATATATGCTGGGGATCTCACTTAGAGGCAAACAATTGAGAAGATTCGTAGAAGACTTCATTGAAAAAAGTCGAAATCGCTGTCGACCAAACAGATCAGAGATCGACGAAAAAACTTCTGAAATGGAGGTCATGGTCAGACAAACGAAATCCCGGAAGACAACACACTAGATGGACAGATTATTTAAAAAAGCTCAACACCAACTGGATTGCAGCGGCACAGGAACGAGAAACTTGGAAGAAACTTGAAGAGGCCTATGTCAGACAGCGGACGCAAAGGGCTGGAGAATAATGATGATGATGACTGAAAAAATTAATCTTTTCCCTGAAGGTATAAATTATATGCCCAAGGCAAACGATCACCTTATTCGAGACATGACCTCAAGACGAAACAAATGTTCGTTGATAATGGTAAAAAAACGTAAAAAAATTTAATACGTTTGAAGGTATTTTGCATTAAACTATATGCCAAACATAATGTTATGACAAATGTTTTTCTTTCTGAATTGCTGTACATTACAGCAACAGAATGGCTAATAAGACAACAAAAAAACAAACGGATTCCTCAGCATGCTGAAAAGTTGGGGACTGCAATATCGAGATTATACTATCGCTTAAGACTTAATGGAAACTATGAGTTTAACATTTTTTGAAAAATGTCGCCATGTGAAACTTCTAAAATATCCATTTTCCTTAAGGAAATTGTTGATTGTCAAATCTGTACTGAAACTGAGATTGAAAAGTTTTTACGTTTTCGAATTTTAGTCATTTACACATGCGACCGTATTGTGAATCCAACTAATAGTTCGGTTTTAGAAAAACTTCATAGTTTTCCATAACAATTAGATAGTTTTTGTGTAAATCTGACTTTCTGCCCCGGTCTACCTTTGCGTAAATGACACAATACTGACAAATACATTTTTCTATTATCAAAATACCACATTAAAATTTATTTGAAAAAAACTTAAATAATTATATTAATCGAGGAAGGATGATCAACGAAAACAATTGCTGAAAGATATGGAAAACCGAAGAGCACGATTTATAAAATTGAAAAAAATTATGTTAACAGTCAACTTTGAACAAATTTGTGACATACATCGCACATATATTTCACTAAGCCTGATTTACCAAATTCGGGAAAAATCGCCTTTAGTAGTCGTCTACTTTTATGTGTGTTCAACTTTTATGACTATGTGCTTGTTGCCGAAACTTTTGTAGACAATTATTCTTTGATAGTCGAAAAATGAAATATGAATTACCTAAGGAAAAATATGTTCAGTTCGAGTGTTCAGTCTGAAAAGCTTTTAAGTGTAATTTGCCAAATAGGTTATATCAATTCTGGGCAAGAAAAACGGGGAAGCAATTATATGGGCTGCAAGAAATTATAGGAGAGCGCGATTTTACACGGAAACCTCAGACGCAAAGTAAATAATTGGATGTTGTCAGGAGTAGAGGTAAATTATCTTCGCTTTCTTTGTTTTCAATTGCAAAAAAGATTCCAGAATCGCGAATCCAACTTTCCCAAAGTAAATGAAAGTTCTAAATTCCGCACCATTCGTCGAATCATTAAACAATATACCAGGCTTAATGGAGTCAAATATAATCGTAAATTTACTCACATAATGCCTTCGTGGGAAACTTTTATCTCGGCACCTAATTTCGAGAGTCCAATTAGGAATAAACCCCTGTGAACTTTTCAGGTCCATTGAGATTCTGGCTAATGACGAAACTGAGTAATATAATTACTATAAAACTACCTTTAACACCGTGCAGAAAGGGTGGAGCGAGAGAATTATCTCCTGAGTAAATAGAACCTTGCGTTTTGTAATACCCAGGAAATCGTTTTGATATTTGTGGAGGTCAACATGATTTATCTAACTACGCGCTCTAAAAAATATGAAAATGCTTTTCTGCTTATTGAGCGCCTATAATAAAAGCATCCAGTTTAGTTTAAAATTTAAATTTTTATATTTAATAATACAGAGCATCACGTAGCCATATAATTACGAGGGTACTAAGCTCAAAGGACGATGTGGCTTAACTTTTGACAAGAAAAAATGTCTGGCTCCTCTAATATTGATGGTCAAGGTTTAAAAAAAAAGTTTTATAAAATACCGGGGAATGATGATATGTATTTTAATGAAACTCACAGTAAATTTGTTCCGATGGAAGACTCATATTTTGATGATGCATCCGAGTTCACGCGCAAAACTGATAGATATTTTTATTTGGTAGCAGAAAAATTCATTTTTTTAAGTTGCGTTTCACATCTAAGATTAGTACTTACATCGTTATTTGACATTTTTATCCTATTTGTGAAATCTTACAGCGTTCACAGTTTCTGTCTTGTCCGACTTAGGTCACGTATTCTTAGGGAAAATTTTAAAGCGAGTTTTGTAAAAATCGATCGCATGATTCTCCAGATATTTCAAAATCAAACAGCAAAAGCAGTGTAGCCGTACACTTTTTCTGAATAAACTTTAAACAGATCATCTGTTTCCCCAAATCCTTCTGTTTACCCAAAAAATGTTACAGTGCTTTTTCTATCAAATGCGTAAGGGAGCCTCTGTAGATTTTTCAGTTAAGTATCTTTTCAGCCTTGTGAAATTTAGTATTTATAGTAATTACTTTAATCGAACAAGAATTATCTTCATTTCTTAATAATTTATGACAGTCAAATTTAGTTTTTTAAGGAATAGCCTACTTTTTAATCCATATTCAGGTTATGCATTGAATTTGATGTATTTTTATAACATATAATTTCTGAATTCAATAGCTTTTAAACAAAAGACAACTCTATTATTATTTTTTTTTACTAAAATAAACGATGTAATTTCAAAATAATATGAAAACCAATATTAGACGCAATACAATTTGTCCTGCGGCATAATTCTAATCTTCTAACATTGTTATGAAGAACTCCTATCAGCATTTGTGAGAATATTTTATGGAAAGCGCGTCTTATTCTCTGTTTTGTGTCCTCAGGAGCTGTTAAAGAAACTTGGTAGGCTTTCTTTGACGTATCCCTAAAGAAAAGTCGTAAGGAGTCAGGTCAAGTGAACTGGTTGGCCAAAATGCGCGTGCATTCCTATCCATATATGATCTATGTAAAAATTATGGACATTAAGGGCATAGTGAGGTATAATAATGTCAAACCCCTGAACTCTGGATAAAATTGTATACATTTTGATGCATTACCGTGTTTAAACGTTCATTTCAATCTAGAATCTGAATATGAATTGGAAAAGTAGGCTATTGCATAGAAAAATAATCTTGATTGTCATTACTTTATTTTGAGTTACCCTGTATACACAAAGTGACAGCAATTAATATTTTGTCAACAATCACAACACTTTTTTCCAGTCACTGTTTCTTCTTAAATAATGTGTTTGGTAAATCGACGCGTGATTTGCAGAAGATTTGAGCATGAGTAATTATTAAGAATATCTTTTACTATCTACCTTCATAAAAGGGGTTTATTGCCCGATTACAATTTGTGTTTTATGAAACATATTTAATACTAAGGATTACGTAAACGACCATTGATTTACATATAAAAGTATTTACTTATATTCAATTTTCTTATTAAAAAGAAATGTATGTTACTTATACAAATTCTGTTACGTTATGCTAGCAATATAAAATGGATTTATGGTTTGTAACCTTAAAGTAAAGCGTAGCTCGTAAAAACTCCAAACAATTTTCCCTTCTAAATTGAACCGAAACATGAACCCAAATTAACGTGACTTTAAGAAACATCAATAACATACCATTTTTGGTTTAAATTGTCTAAAGTCAGGTCTGTGGCCATGCCATTAGTAGAATTAAATATTATACATATACTATATCCAATAGCCAACAGCTTTCAGTTATACCATAATTAAAATTGGGCTTCTAGCGACAGTTTGAAAATGCTCGTGTGCTAGAAAAAAATAAAACTGCAAAATGACAACAATTATGCTGATGATATAGAAGATATGGTTATTTAATTGTTGTAAAACTTCCTGACAGAAAAATAAGCTGCAAAGTTATTCTGTCATTATCATAGCCCTCAATGTTCCTCAATATTCTCTTAAAACGAATGCCAATCAATAGCAATATAATTACATCTCAACTAGTTAACACGAATTAGGGTGGTAAAATTGAAGATGTGAACGAAGATATTGCATAACATTTAAACTTATAGCTAACCATTTGGCAAAACAGATGACGGTTGAAGTCACTGATCAGGAATTTAACAAAACATTTACATTAGCAAACATTAAGAAAAATCATACTTTGCTTCATCTATTTGTTAGTCGCTTTGTCTTTCGGAATCATGGCTCCTACTTTAAAATTCAAAGCAGCTGTGATCCAGCTAATAACACATTAGCAAATTACTACATTCAATATATTTTTGTATTAAAACACCAAAAACATTATAAAATGCGCTCGAGCACTTCAGATTATATTCGTCGCGAACCCCAAGATGGATCACTTTCAGTAAATCCGAGAAAAGCCTACTTCATCTTTAATGCGGTTATATTCGTTTTTGTGAATACCACAATATTTGAGCGGTTAGACCTCCATTGAAACGTGACTGACACTGAGATTACAGACTGCTAGTTTTTCATTTCGCATTTCGGCCATTTCCGAAATGGAACTTCCAATCACCGATTGAAAATCAACATAAGACAATGTACTTACATCATTATTTGTGTACGCAGGAATGATGGGCCCGTCGTTTGATTCCCATTTGTTGGCTATCCGAATGGTTTCGGCAGTTTTTTCTTGAACTGATTTGTTTTCGTCTAGTAATGTTAGTTCGTAAAACTCTTGAATATCTGCAATAGAATAAACATGTTAACCGACTTATGCCCGTTAAATCGCCCAAAACACCCTACATGTATTTAAATCTGAGAAAATGACACAACGCAAAAGATTTCGTTTCACTTAAGGATGTTTGGAATTAAACTGAAATCAAAATCAGTGGTTACGGAATATCAAAAAGAGTCAATAGGGTTCCGGGTATAAGGGTTATATTAAAATCTGCACTCATTTTTAAAACAAATGTTGACGGCGCTTTTGCAGTAATTGCTTTCGGTACTATTCGGAAGGAACAGACAAGAAATGTATTATCAAAATAAACGTATGACATCCGTGCCATGCAGACGTGCACATGCAGATCAAAACGTATCGAGCTGGGAAACACTAAACTAAAAAACGAAAACTGCTTCACTAAAAGGAGCAGAGCTAAAAAAAACATGTGACATTAAAAAATTTCCGATAAATCTACTATCGATTCGGCAGCATTGTAATTTTCACCAACCTAATAATTTTAAAGATGAACATAATTAATCAACATCGCTTTAAATTAGGTAGTATTGTCAAGTTCTTTCGCATTTTATGATTGCTTAAGGTTCTCCAATGCCCAAAATACAACAAAAAAGATCGACTTATAACACAAATTTCATGCATAATTATTTTTCTGTTGGTAGTCAAATTTCGTCACTGATGACTTGCCACCAAAGTTATAGTGTATGTAGCTGTTCAAGTGTCCTGCCCTACTATACAGCTTTGAGTGTAATATTCAATATCCACGTCAAACAGATTCGAATTTGATTATGTTAAGAACCAATTTAACCGATAGTCAACTTACCGTTTTTTTACCAAGTGCAAGTGATGAATTTTTAATCTACTCATTTTGTCGGTTTTTTATTACATTAGACTGTTTGCATTTTAAATTAATAAAAAAAAATTAAGAATAGAAAGGAAGAGTGTGGTTTAGCTATGATTAATTTTCAACCCAATATTCAATACTTGATACGAAATTTCTGCACATATGATCACTACAACAGCAGTAATCAATCAATGAGTATCAATCAATGACTGTATTTATAATATCAACACAAATGTGTTGCACTGCACAAAAAAATATGGCCCAATAACAGCACCGGACCATAATGCACACCATACGGTTCCTTTTTTAGGATGCAAAGGTCTTTCTGCGATCACCTGAGGATTTTGAGAGCCCCATATAGGGCTGTTCTGTTTATAACCACCGAGCGAAAAATGAGCTTCATCGCTCAAGAAAATTTGGTTAGAAAAATCATAATCAATGGCTTGTTGTTCAATTGCGTATCTTCTGCGTTGCCCATGGTCTTGAGGCTTAAGTTCTTGAGTCAGTTGGACTTTGTATGGATAAGGCATCAAATTCAATTGCAAAATTCGCCACAGTGAGCCGCAAGACAATCCCAAATGTTGAGCAGTCGGGGAATCGACGAATTCGGCTCTTCCTCCACAGTTTGAGCAACAACAACGACATTTTAAGCTGCACGAATGTTGGGATGATGCACAGGCCTTACAATATCAGCAACCGATTCAGTCTCTTAAAATTTTTCTACTGTGTTCAAAATTGTTTCCTCCGTGGGTCGATTATGTCGACCGTAATCTGCTCGAAACGCCCTAAATGTTGATATAGCAGAATCACCATTTTTATAGTCACATTTAATAATTTTTACGCGTCCTTCGACAGTCAAACGATCCATTTTCCTAAATGGCAAACCTTCAACTAAAACAAAATCGCTTCGGATGACGTTTACCTTTAACAGACATGAAATAGCAAGGTTTTACTTTTCCAACCTCGAATTGGATAACCCGTTAGTAGTACTATAAAGTAGAATAAGATAACTTTTAAACTAATGTAAAATTTTATGTTTCCAATTCGAGAAAACAAACCGATCTTCAATATAGTATACTTATCAGTATTTTATTCCCCATTCATTTTATACATCGGCTGGCCCATTAAACRTTATTATAACTCTCGTGATAAATCAAAACCTTATTTTCACCCAATTTTGAAAACGTTTTAGTTAATTTAGATCGAAAATAAAAAAAAACCGTCTGRAACTTGGACTTTGCCTAGTTTAAAAACGAATTCAAAATTTATTTGCAACAAATGAACGACAATAAATATACCGAACTGGAAATAATGTGTTCTTTTCTGTTGCCGAAACAACAAAATATAGGACTTAAACAGAATATTTCTATTCCAGGCTATTCTTGTGTGAATAAATTGGGTGAGGCATGTACCAAAATATGTATCGTGTTAATTTGCTGAATTTACATACGAAGCAATGTAACTATGTGATGTTAATAAGCTTTAAGCTAAGTATTAAGCTTTCGAAAATATTTCAGATAAAAATATATATAATATATAAATGTGATATATAAATGTGACGCTAGTTTTAAATGCCTTGATGCGTTGAATTAGAATAAATTGCAGCTCTCCAAATACATGAGAAGGGGATAAAGTAGTATATTATTAAAGCCTTGTATTCCCAATCATTGGTGCATGTGCGCATTAAAAAGACAATATTGTAGGAAATATGTAGATACAAAATTATATGATTGCACCAGAAACGTTTGTTAACTCGGATTCTGAAATGAAAAATGTATTGTAGTGCAACACATGCTATCACTACTGTCGTTAGTTTATTGTCTTTGTGACAAGCTTTCAAATACGTTTTTCTTTGTTAGTGAAATATATCAATATTTATTAACATTTTATGGCCAACAGCGGATTGCTAACATCTGAAGAATTAGTAGGCAACATTTCTGATACTTCTACCAATTCGCAAAATGTTGAACCCCACCCTCTCTCAGATAACGCCCTTATGATATACAATATACAAGAAGCAAAAGAACAGCCACCAAAACCACCGCCAAGTCCTAAAGAGCTGATTACAGATTGCTATATCTCGGTTTTACCAAAAATTCCCGAAGATATTAACCATCTAGAAATTCCTTTTGTAAGGCAAGTTGGAGTGAGAGATTCCATAGAAATGTTAGCTCCGTTTTTCAGTTGTAATGATTATCAAAACAACTTGGTCGAATTTTGGTTCCTCGATATAATTGTGGATTGCATTTGGAAAGTGCAAGACGAATATAGGTTTCCAAATGCGCAGCATATTGGAATGGGTTCTTTTTATAATAGAACTTATCATCAAGAAAAACATGACAAGGGAACTAATGTTACGAATTATCGATGATGCAATGGCTATTGCTGAAGAATATATACAAGCTGGAGGCTCCGAAGATCCTGTTCCCAGAAACCTTTTTACACTTACTCTGGAAAACGACAGTGAAACTCCAGAGAGTATTTTAAGTTTAGATACATCTATATTAACAGAATCACTATCGAGTGCAATCCACTTGAGGCCATCAAAGCAATACATAGTTATCGAGTGTAATCAGGAATATGAGGTAACATTTAACAAGCTACTATATCCACTTGAATAATCTACTAGAAGCTACGGATAGGTTTACAGCCATATAGAATCTGGCTGTAAGAGTCTTGCGTCGGTTAGCCCTAATTTGAATAAATGTGCATTCAATTATAATTCACTGTTAGGCCCTAATCGAAACGGTTTTTCTAACCCCGTAAAAGTACAGCTTCACTTTTCAAGTGCAAAGAGTGAAAATATGTTTATCGAGACAGAGAATTTGTTGAGTCTATAGGAAGTACAATGAGTTCCAGACAATGGGTTTCGAACTGTTGAAACATATTTTTCAATTATACATTAGTAAGAGGGGGGCTTTGGGCAAAAGTTGACATGGCATCTTTTTTCAGAAACGGCCAATGTTTCCGCGTTATTATGTATGTTGTTGGTATGTAACGAAAATAATAAATATATCTATACAACCAATGTAACAACAAAACAGTGTAGTAACATAGCATTTTTTTGAGTAGAAGTATGTTATATAATAAGGTAATTATATAGCATAACAAACGTCCCAATATAAAGCAGTACTCATGCACTTTTTAAAAATCGTCTCAGTTAAATTATTATGCCCCCTCTTAATCTGCAATTTTCTCGTTTTTTTGTTGGTATTTACCGCACATGTTCGACAATCATAGACTGCAAGCTGTACTATAAAATTTTAACCTCCTAAAACTTCTATATTGTTGACGTTTTTTTTAATGATATTCGCGCTTCTCAATTGTGTTAATATTTGATTACAAGAATGTGGACCTGATCACATCATAGATAGATAGATAGACAGGCGCAAGACCTGAGTCTAATCTTGATTTGTATTTGTTATTAATTGTTATACAGATTATTTAGCTCTTGACCCCTTTTAGTAAGTTGTCGTTCATATCGAAACTCGACATTTTCTCAAGTTAGAAATAGCGAGTAGTAAAATAATGTACTGCTCACACAGTTTGATCAGTAACCGAGTAGAATAAATCAAAGATTGTTAAACCATTAGTTTAAAAGTTTGGTCTCTTTCATGTATTGTACTAACTGAGCAATCTTCAAGAATATTTTGTTTTAAAATTTCTATTAAAATACAAATTCTATTTGACTGTAGACACCTAAGCAGCTGGTAAAGCCATTATGGATTTGGAATTTTAAATTTTCAAATTCCTATCGTTGACTGTTTGATTGTAAATAATTTAATTTTCCTTTCCCTCGATATTTTTCAACGTTTCAAAGCAAGCGCATTTTATTCACTACATGCACCCTCAAAGTCATATTAAAGCCCTGGTGGTAATGGGATCAAACGTTATATTTGCCTGGATAACTCGGTAAAACGATGGTTAGTTTATAACATTTGCCTAAAATTTTAAACTCTGACTACAACTGATATTAACGAAATTTTATTAAAGCAACATCACAATCTAATTTGTGAGTTGATTATTATCAATCCTTTAACATCGTTTCAACCTAGGATTTAATAAATAAATGGCTTTGATTTCAGAAGCGATAAAATATATAGAAAAAAAAAGCGAAGTCCTAGTTGCAAAATAACTGTACACTCGAACTAAAAGTAGCAAAATGTTAATTTTAAAATTCATATAAAAGTGAATTAATTAGGAAACTTTTTATTTGAACATGACAAAATAGGGATTATTATGTTTAAATTTGAATAAAAAATGCTTCACCACGCTCAATGAAGAAGCACCTCACCAACTGTCATTTGCCACCCCTGCCGATGAAACGACAGGATGAAGAACACAGAAAACAAATCTGAGACTGAGTGGAAACCGAGTCGAGAACGCACGTCAAGCCGCAGTTTTATCATTGTCAGAGTTTACACTTCCAATAAGTAAGAAGTTACACACGAAACAAATATACATTAAAGGTGACAACAATATAATGATTTGCAAAATAACGACATGGAAAAGTTATACCGGTCTTTTTCAGTAACTCCATCCTAGATCTTATATCGCTAATTTAGTCATTATCAAACAAAAAATCACCAATGAAGTGCTAACAATTTTTAGTACAAAAAGTGTTCATTAAATTTTAGTGCTTTTTTAAATAACTCAAGAAAATCTGCTGGATTTCTTGCTCGAACTATTCGTAAGTTTGCCCGAAAACTGATTATCTCTATACAGGGTGTCCCACCGGGAACCGCCGCGATAGATATCTGACAAACTGTAATTAGGAGAAATTTGAAAATTGGACAGTGTGCCTAGGTCATTGGGGGCAAGCGGTGTAAAATATTTTCAAAATGGCCACATTTCCGGTTATACCGGACGTGCGTATCAACTTACCTCTTTTAAATGGAAGACCCTATATATTATTACAATTTTGAATTCTACTTCAAATTCTAAATATATCTCATATGCAATATACTGTAGCCAAGTCGAACCGTTTTTGATATATTTGGAGTTTTATGTAAAAAATGACAGTTGCAGCCACTCGAATAATTCTTCATTTTTCCTATAAGGGAATTTGTCATACTTAATTTGAGTTGCATTTATTGTTCAAAAAGACTTACTTTAATGGAATTTCGAAAACATTTTTAAAACTATTAATGCAAAGTGTTAACAAAAATTTCAAAATACAGTTGAGAAAACCGCCCAAAATCAATTTTTTCTTTTTGAGAATAATTAGTAATCATGCCAGGGCGTCTCATATACAAACGAAGATTATTTAAAATTCTTGAAGCAAACATCGTAATTTTCATTTTTGAATGTTTGAGTTTTCCAATATGCTGCCAATCAAACATGGAACAATTTCAAAATAATGCTTAATAACAAAGTTGAAATTCGATCTTCAACTGTTAATATCTTCTAGAAATTTTCGAAAAAATGTTTTTCAATGTTTCTCTTGTACTCCCCAAGTGAGCCTCCATCACCCTTCAAAAAGGATGACGCCAATTTTGAATCACCCTTATAATACTATTAATATAAGCACAACAATACTTTTAAATTCGACAACTTTCTGGACTAATTCAGAACATATCATTATAACATTCAACATAAGTAGATTTTGCCTTTCCAAGTTTCAAACTAAAATTCACTGAAATGTACAGTTCGCAACGAAATATGAAAGTTTTTTATCATAAATTAAAACAAAAAAATTAATGAATGAAAGTTTAAAATTTTTATTGAAAAAAATAATCTTGATGAAAACAAATAAAAGCCTTGAACCTTAGTAATGAGACGTTATAATACGAATTAGAGCGGTTATAATATTACAGATAATGATGCAATGTGAGTTTTAACGTTTGACTACATCCAATCATTTGCCATTGATCGACGCGAGGAAAAATTCGTAATTATTCGGGAATCGAATAACGGGCTACGCTTTAATTTAGGCGAGACGTCGACGGGCAGAATAAAGTCGATTTAAATTTCAATTGGGCATCTGAAGTAACCTACAGGTTGACTATAAATTGACATAATTCCGCTGAGACGTTGAGGAATATTTACCAAGCTTAGAAAAAATAGTAAAAAAAGAATGCAAAAAAATAAAAAATCTGCAAACATGTAATCATAAATTGAATAGTAATGGATTTACTGAAATAAAACTGAAAATAAAGTTTTGCCCTTCATCAACTGTTAAATCAGAATGGTGACCACCAAAACTAAAAGGCACAATATAATTACGCTGGTGGTAATTATCAGTTGAGATTTTTTTGTGTTAAATGTAGTTTTTCAATTGTTTTCACACTATCCCAACGCAAATGAATGGATAAGTATATGTACTGAAATGAGTACATTCATTAAATGAGTTTTAAAACCGAACTGTTCAACTGTATCTCATAACATCACTTCACAACATTGTTTTAAGTGTTTACTAAAATTAATATTATAACCTGCCCAAAACATTAACATGGTTTTCCATTAGATTTTAATATTTATGTTAAACTCGATCAACTTGAATGTTGCTTGTGAGTCTTAGCTATGACTTCGGCAATCAGAAATTCAGTTGCAGAAAGTTAAATTTTCTTCAACAACGTTCACTTGCTCATTAGAGTCGTCTTGCTTATAATAAACAACATGATTCAGCCCATCTTTTATTACTCATTTATCATGTATGCATATACATCATGCAAATGTAGCATAATTTACTATCACAGTAATCACAACAAAGTAATGTCGTATAAAGTAATGTTTCTTTTAACTATTACAGGTTTTTAAGTTACCGACTAGGGAGCCAAATGTCGGATGTCTTTCATCMTCTGTCGATTCAGCATCTGATAACGAACTCTCTGAAGAAGAAACGTTGCAACCCATTAGTGTAAAAGAATCAGAGTCGTCAGTGGATTTTTGTAAAGTTGATATGTCAACGCCTCCCAGATTAAAGTCGTTACAAGATTTAACAGCGACGTCGACTGATAGCTCTGCCTATGAATTAATGCAAAACCAGGAATCAGACAATATAAAAATTGGAGACTGGTGAGAGTGGCTATATGCACAACGCGTAAACAGAATAAGTTTACAAGTCGTAAATGATTGTTTCCCTATTTTGCTTTAGGCACAAATTGACCAGAAAATGTACACCTCCAGTATGCCCAACTAAAATAATTATGGAAAGAGTAAGTTCACCTGTAATGGAAGAACATAAAAACCAAATGGAATCGTCACTTGATCATACCCCAGACAGCAGTAACGAAATTGCTCCAACAAAAGATCAAATTTTCCAAGCTTTCTACGAGCATAATGTATGGAATTTAAAAAACGAATTTATGACAAAATTCAATTTGGGGTGGACTTCATTGTCCTCTATTCGAACTATGAATAGCCCACTTGCAACAAAAAACGAGTATAACTTTGATCACTATCAGAAATCTGAGAAAGCAGACAAGGAACGTTTCATTAAATCCGTTCTACTTTTAACAGTTCGTCAAATTGTTTACGATTACTTCCAACATAACTTCGCATTTGACCTGGTAAAAATATCTCTTACAACTCCCCAGTTTCTTCTCACTCAGGACGTCAATATGGACTGGTATACTCCAAAGGAATTTAAGAACGATTTCAAAAAATTCCAAAACGACCGAAAAAGGAAAAAACAAAAAAAGAACCCAAAAGCAAATCTAAAAAAGATAAAGTCAAATCTAGTAAAGGAGATAAGAAAAACACTAAAAACAAATCGGATAAAAAATCCAAGTCGGACAAAAAATCAAAAACATCAAAGAAGAGTAAATCCTCCAAAGAGAATAAGGGTAAAAAGTTAAGCAAAGAAGAAAAAAAGGAATTAGAACGACAGAAGAAAGAGCAGGAAGAACAGGAAAATGAGTTGCTGCGTCAAGCAGAGGAGAAAATGTACATGTTTCCTTTAAAAGAAGCCGTTGATGATCAGTTTTTCGTTGATCT